CACAGGGATGCAGCCCTGCGCCCCCTCCCTGGGCAGCCCCTGCCCCGCACTGTGCCCGGCTCCCTGGGCTGGACTTTGGAGCCTGTCCCACAGCCAGTATTGATGCTCCTGCCCCAGGTCACAGCCCTTCTATCTGCCCAAACAAACCCTCCCGTGGCAGCCGGGAGAAATCCATGAGGCTGCAACGCCCCCAGGGGTGGGGGCCAGGCTGGCTCCCTGCCTTGGCACCAGCCCCACCACCAGCTCGGGGAAGGGGCCAGGTGCCCACCATCCCAGCCAGAGGTACCCCTGCCTCCCAGCACCCCAAATCAGGCACGAGCCTCTCGGCATCCCCCGTGCCGGCACCACAAGGGCAGCAGGGTCTCCTTTGCACCTCGGCTGCTGCACCGGCTCCCGGGAGAGGCGAAGGCTTCTCTCAGCTCAGTCACTCGACTTCTCCCGCCCTGGCACCCCCCGGGGGCGGCAGATGAAAGACACTTTGCTGCATCTATCGCAACAGCACGAAGCCCTGGCGCAGCACCGCGGCATGCGAGAGGCTGCCGAGCCCAGTCCCTGCTGCCACCCCCGGCTCAGGGTGGGGGTCTTGCACCTCTTCTTCAGCTGCAGCCCCGACACAGGGCTCTGAGCTACAGGGGCTTTGCTGGGATGGGGGTCAAGGGTTGTTGGTGCGGGCAGGCAGCAGGTGCTAATTTGGGTGCTGAAAGGAGGGTCCCTCGCTGGCTTGTTTCTCCCTGAGCAAGAGGGACGAGGCCCCAGCACCGCCCCAGCCTGCGCTCTGGCTAATTAATGGGCAATCAGATGATGTACAAGTCCGAGCATCACCAGGGCTGCCCGTGTCCCTCCCACAGCCCCCTGCTGCCACAGGTCCCATCCCTGCCCACAGCCCCTTGCCCACCATGGGGCCTCCCCCTGGCACTGGGAACCCACTGCACCCCCCCAGGGGAAGCTGGGCAAACCAGCCCCACAGGCTGCCCCCCACCGCAAGGTGTCTCAGGTCAAGGGCCCCCGCCGCTGAGTCCCCATCAGAGCCACCCTGCCCGGGAGGACGGTGACACCGGCCACTGGCACCCGCCTCACGCCCCAGCTCCCCCCGCCACCCCAGCGACACCAGCTGAGGCTTGAATTTCCCTCCTCTGGACAATGGGGAAGGCAAGCTGGGATTGTAACCGGAGCGGGGGATAAATAAAGCTGCCCAGAAGTTTCCATTACCCACACTTCGGGCTTCTGCGTGGGACATCAAAGCTGAGCCCCTTGCGCCCCAAGGTCCCACTCCCTCAGCCCATCGCCCCAGTTCCTGGCACGCCGTGCCCTGGGTGCTGGAGCGCTGAGCCCCCTCGCCTGGCACCGAGACCCTGGCAGCCGATGGCGCCGACACAAATCACCTACGGAGCGCAGAGTGGAAAAGATGATTCGTTAGTGTGACAGCACAGGAACACCCTCCTCCTCGGCTGGGAGGCGGTAGGTGCCAGAATGCAAGGAGCCCCCCAGCACC